CATAGTCTGTACGCGGTAACGTACAGAATCGGTGATGGACCACACACATCATCACAACTTTCTAGATTTCCTTTTACAAACGTCTATCAACTTTCCTTTACTTTTATCATCCTCCTAGTAAGTCTATTGCTACACGACGTATTTTACATTGTGGATTATTATCCAAAGACGGTCAGCAAAGCACAAGATATGTTGAAGATTCACATGGAAGTGATTAAAAATCCGGGAGTGAACCTGTACCAAGGAAAGGACCAACCTAATAAAGGTAAAGGCAAAGGAAAAGGAAAGGGGAAACCAAAGGATGGAAAGAAGGCAGCATGTTATGTGTGTGGCAACAAAGATCATATGTCTCCAAAATGCCCAGACAGACTGCTACCAAAGACCCAATGGAAGAATCAGGATCAATATGTTGACTATGGCAAGAAGGTCAATCTTAATCAGATTGGAGCAACTGTCCCAGCTACTGTTCCGGCTATAGTTCCTGGAGCTTCAGCATCCACAAGTGGAGCATCAAGTGTTGCGGGAAGCGTTAACACACCTTTGCAACTTGCTGGTACTACAGGTAATCAGATGATGCAAGTTCCTGCGGGAATGTAGCTCATGCAGATTCCAACTCAAGGTGGCGGCACTGTGACTGTCCCTTACACTATGAATGCTAATGGTGAGATTGCGTTCAGTGGAATGCAACTCGGCCATCAAGGATTCAGTGGTGCTCAAGTGCGCCAAGGATTTGATGCAACTCAAGCTCAAACTCCTCAGGTCATGAAGACTGGCTATTACGATACGTCAAATGTCTTTCACCATGCTATCAAGGGAAAGGATGAGAATGACAATGATGTCTATCTTATTCCATGTCCTGCTGGTACGACAAATGTCGAACTTCAAGCCGACTGGCACTATGCTAGTGAAGATGAAGATTTGCCTGATCTTGCTACTGAAGCAGATTGAGGTCTGCAGTTTATTCAAAGCGGCAGAAAGGAAAGAGATCCATTTGCGTTGTACAATCATGTCATCATGGACAGTGGTTGCACAAACACCACCATTTGTAATGGTGGGTTTATGCATGGACTCCGTCATGCTGAGAAGGAACTTGATATGCACACTAACATGGGCAGCAGAGTTCTCGACGAAGAAGGTTTTCTAGGAAGATTTCTGCCTCCAGTTTATCACAATGAACATGGAATTGCCAATGTACTTGCTATGCACGAGATGATTGCTGCGGGATACCGCATTACTATGGATACTGATGCTGACAATGCTTTTATTGTGCATTGTGATGGAAACAGAAAGACGCGATTTGTAAATCGTAAGGGTGTGTATGTGTTGGAGCAACTTGGAGCGAATGTCAAACCAGGTGCCAAAGACACAAGTGCAATGTACCGTCGCCAGTTAAGCAACTTAAATAATCAACCCCATCTCGAACTTTCTTCAAACAAACAGAATGGATATGCTGGACTTGAGATGACCTCCAAGATGGCAACCGTTCGAAAGAACAAGGAAGGATTCACTCCAAGTCAAGTCAAGGCTGCGATGGAAGCGAGAAGTGCAATGCACATACTCAATGCTCCAAGCACCAAAAGTTGAAGTCTGAAGTATGCGATCCGATCTGGTCTCATCAAGAACTGTCCTATCACTGAAGGAGCGATCAATCATGCTGTAGCAATCTTTGGGCCTGACGCCTCTAAGTTGAAAGGCAAGTCAACAAGACCAACTCCGAAGAGGACATACGACGACTTCTTCAGTCCACCAGAGGAATTATATCAGCACAATCGATCTATTACCGTCTGTATTGATCACATGGAGATCAAGAATGCTAAGTTTCTCACCTGCATTGATACCACTGTGCGTTATC